GCAGCTTCAGGCCCTTCACGCCACCCCGCACCTTGTGGGGCTGGGGGAGAGGCCAGAGCTGTCACAGGGCAGCCCTGAGTGGCCCTGGGAGGGGGGGCAGGGACAGAGACCCCCTGGCAGGGGGAGGCACTGGGAAGGACCCCCCCCGCCACGCAGGGACATCCCCACCTTGATGCAGAAGCCGAACTCAGTGGGGGTCCCGTAGAGCTTCTTGCCCTGGGTCACGTAGTAGATGTTGGACTCGGTGAGGTCAGCGAAGTACTGGAGGTGCCGGGGGTCCTGGGGGCGTGGGGGGTGTCAGGCTGCACCCCCTGGCCGTGCTGCCCCCCCGCCCCAATAACCCCCCCCATGCCCTCACCTTGGAGGTGCCCTTGGTGGAGTAGTAGAGCCCCGAGCGGCGCAGGGAGAAGTGGAAGCGCTTCCAGACCTTGCGGCCGGGCTCCCGCAGCTGCAGGAACCCCTGCACCTCGGGGCAGCTCCCGGAGTTGAGGAAGTTCTGGGGGGACACGGGGGCTGAGGGGCATGGCGGGGTTCCCCGGGGGCCACCAGGGCACCTCAGTCCCTTCAGCGCGCCCGTACCTGGATGAGCTCGGAGTGTGCCATGCTCTTGTTGGCCTCCAGGCAGCTGGACACCATCACCTCGGGGAACAGCGACTGCTGGGGGCACGGGGGGTGGGTCAGCCCAGCCCCGTGGGGCGCTGGGGGTCCCCATGGGTTTAACCCCCCCGTCCCTCCAGGCCCACGTACCACGCTGCTCTTGAAGAGCTCGTACTTGGCGAAGTTCTTGCGGAACACGAAGCGGCTCTCGGCGCCGGCGGCCCAGGAGTTCTGCACCTCCACCACCGCCTCGTGGTCCTCCAGGCACCGCTCTGGAAGGGGGACACGGGTGGTCGGTGGAGCCCCAGCCGTGCCCCATCCCCCCCTTGTGCCTTTCCCCTCCTCCCCCCAGCGAGGGCTCACCCAGGGCCAGGTGAGGGTGCAGCTCCACCAGGGCCCAGCTGTGGTCGTGGATCGCCCGTGTGCGGCGCACCAGGGTCTCGCAGAGCTGCCGGGCCGTGGTGCCCGCCGAGACCTCCAGGGACCGGCACGCGCCGTCCTCGCCGAACACCTTCACCACCTGCCGCGGCACCGCCGGGGGCGTCGGGGCCTCGCCACGCGGGGGGGGCACCCGCAGAACCGAAGGTGAGACCCCCCCCCCAACCTCCCCAATTCCCTTGCCCCAGGGCTGGGATCTTCCCAGCCCCCTGACACATGGAGGGGGGGACCCCCTGTCCCAGGACCAAGAACTCCCCTCCCCAGCCCCTCAAGGCTCACGGGAGGCACCCTCACCCTGTGCCAGGGCTGAGCCCCCCCTTCCCAGACTCACGTGGGAGGTGCCCTCGCGGGGGGGTCCCTGGCCCAGGGCGGGGCTGCTGAGGATGGGCGAGTTGGAGGGGCTGCAGAGCTCCGGGAAGGGGTTGGGAATGCTGGGCAGTGACGATGCACGCGGCTCCTCCTGGGGCAGGGTCCGGCTGCGGGCACGGGGTGAGGGTGGGGGGGGTGTGTGACACCTCTGTGACACCTCTGTGACACCTTCCACGACCCCCCCACGCCCCCTCTGGACCCCCACTCACCTGTTGCCGTGGATGAAGAGGGGCTGGGAGCGCTTGACCTCGGGCGGCCCCTCGCCCCCGTCCCACTCGCCGGGGACCCCCTCCTGCTCCGTCCCGCCCGGCCCGGGGGGCTCCCGGAGGCTGCTCTGCTGAGCTCCCCCCTCCATGGCATTATCTGTGGGGAGAGAGCGGGTCCAGCACTGCCCGGGGCTCCAGGGCCAGGTTTTGGGATGCAGGGCCAGGTTTGGGATGCAGGGCCAGGTGTGGACAGCCCCCATGGGACACTGTGCCAGGCTCCCCATGGGTCACACACCACCAGTGCTGTGGTGCTGCTGAGGGGATCCCACCCCTGGCACCCAACCAGGGGATGCCAAGGGTTGGGGTGTCCCTGCCTCCCCAGACCTGTCCTGGTGCTGGGAACAGGGGTGTGAGACTGGTGCTGAGCACGAGACGCCTGAGAATCCCCCCACATCCCTCACAGGACCCTCACAGTGCCCCCAGGTCAGCACTGGGGGTCAGGCCGATCTTTGCCAGGCCGGGCTGTGCCAGGCTGAGATTTGATGGGCCGAGCTTTGCCAGGCCGGGCTGTGCCAGGCCGGGCCGTGCCGGCGCCGTGGGGAGCAGGAAGCGGGAGCGCGGCGGCGGCTCAGCTCAGACACCTCCTCGGGTCCGGCCAAACCAGTTCTGGCGGCCGCTCCCAGCTCCACCTCACCGCCCTGGCATCCGGGGGCGAGGGAGCCGGCGCCTGCCGTGGGAACTGCTGCCAGCCCCCCGTGTCGAGGGGACCCCGGAATCGTCCCCCTGGATCCACCGGTGCCGGTGCCACGGCGCGGGGAGGGCTCGGACACCGGCCACGCTCCGGGCCCAGCCCTGGAGTGACCAGCATGTGGCACACGTAGCACACACGTGGCACCTGTGGCCGTGCTGGTGGCACTCGGTGGCACTTGGTGGCACTCGGTGGCTGCAGCCCTGGCGGAGACATCCCAGGAGGCCGCAGGCACTCAGGTTAATCATCCACCCTCTGCCCCTGCCCGGCCCTGTGTTGTCCCCTCCCCGTGTCCCTCCCCGCCTCCTGCCAGCTCCTCGGGCCAAGTCCATGGCCAGGCAGGACCGGTGCCATCCCATCCTATCCCCGTCCTCGCCGTGTCCCCATCCCCAGTGTCCCTCTGCTCCACCCCCATTCCATCCCTGTCCCCACAATGTCCCACCAGGACGTTCCGTTCCATCCGCACTCCCTGCCCGGCCGGACCCTGGGGGGGACACGGGGACAGCCAAGGGGAACGTGGGGTGACGGTGCCCACGGTGGGACACGGGGGATGTGACAGATGGGGACCCCCCCGGGGCCGTGGGGTGGGGACACAGCCCTGCCACCAACCCAGCCCATGCCCGTGGCCTCACGTCACCCCGGGGCCAGCCCTGCCCTGGTGGCCCTGCCGGGGCTATGATAGGGTGGTGACAATGGTAGGGGGACACTCAGGGTGTCCCCACGGTCTGGGACAAACGGGGGGACCCAGGGCCTTGGGGCTGTGGGGGAAGGGGACAGGCCCCACCGGGGTTATGGGGTGGGGGACTGCAGGGGGTCAGGACCACCGGGTTGGGCCGTGGGGCCACCAGGATGATGGAGCAGGGGGACCAGGGCCACCACCAGGAAGGGACAACCCAGGGCCAGCAGGACTGGGGGGAAGGGGGATGTTGAGGTTGTGGGATGTGGTCCAGGGGCCACCAGGGCTACAGGAAGGGTCGCAGGGCCACCAGGATTAGGGGACAGCTTCCCAGAGCCACCAGGGTGAGAGACAGAATCCCAGGGCCACCAGGATAAGGAGAC